CATACTTGATGATCTCTTTTCACCTGGGCCACATATGCCATTCTCTTTTCCTTTTCATCCATCTCATGTTACATTCAGAGATAAAACTACATTTGCTTTATTGTCCTTAGCAAAATTATTCTCTTTGTTGCACTTATGACAAATGACAACATCTTCTTTAACCTTGGTCAAGGGACCTGAGTCGGTTGGTTTAGTAGGTTGCGGTATCTCCTTGGCTTGATGAGAGTTCATAGGTTGAGGAAATTGGTGAGGGTGTTTAGGGTATCGAGGGTGATTGTATTGAGGGTCGTAGCTTCGGTTAAAGGGTGGGTGAGTGAACAACTGATTTTTGTGAAGGAGGTTGGAGGTAATCAATTGAACAACTAACTAACAAGAGCAATAACATTCTGGAATTCCTCTTCATCATCATACTCTGTGTCAGCTTCGTAAGACTGTTGTGGGTTTTCATAGGAGAGAGAGTAAAGTTAAGGAGTTATGTTCTGTGGAGTCTGGGCCATGAGAGAAAGTGGCCCTCCGAAGTCAGCACAATCTTTGAGCATGGGTAATTATTGTGCTTGGAGTTCTCCGTACAGTTTGAAAAGAGAGAGTGAGTGAATTTTCAAGTCACCTTGAACTATCATCTTTGCGGTAGTCCAATGTTTCCCCAAACCATTAAGAAACTGAAGATTGGTTTCATGGTTGCTGCGGATAGTGCCAGCATTTGACAATTTGGTAACAATGAGGTTGAATCTTTTGAACGAGTCCTTAAGGCTTTCACCCTCATTTGAAGTTATTGAACTCGTTGAGTGCGGTGGTGAGCTTCTTATCTTGTGCCTGCTCTGAACCTTCATAAAGATTTTTGAGAACTTCCCAGATCTCTTTGGCTGATTTCCAATGGATGATAATGTCGATGTTGTCAGAAGTAATTCCGCAGGATATTTCATAAAAGGCAATTGCATCATTTTCCATTCTATCAAGATCATTCTTAGTGGGATGATTCATGGCCGGTTGACCTCCTCCAAGCCTGGCTTGAGCACCGTCGGCTTGACTGGAGTAAGAATAGGGACATGAGGTCCTTCTTCTACAGATCTCCACAAATCTCGTCCATGTCTTCTTAGATATATCTCCATCCTATGGGACCAGTGAAGATACTCATTTGCCACTAGTATTGGAGCTCTATTCGGACCTCCAACACTGTTGGAAATGTTAAGAGATAATGCTTGTGCCATATTTACTTGTTTTTTTAAAGAAAATTAAGCTTTAGTGGTATAGAAGGCTTTTCAAAATCAGAGTTTTGTTCAAAAACCAACCACTTTGTCTTTGATACTAATTTTTGAGAGAAAAACTTTTGAGAAACACATTTGAACAAACGTTAAAACAAGTTATAATGCGGAATAAGTTTAACTCAAAGGATCATAGAGCTCAATACTAATAAGAAGTTAGAGTTAGAAAGTTAGATAATTAGATGCAGAAATGTAAAGATGAAAATGTAAGGAAATATAAATGAAAACAAGTATTATATCAAGTAAACACTAAATTGATTCTTAATAAGGATTGAATTTAAACCAAGTTAGTAAGTGTGGTCAGCTTAAAGTGATTAAGTCAAGAGTGACTTGCTCCGAAGGAGAGATTACGATCTTAAGATTAGAATTTAAGTTCTGTAAGATCTTGAGAATAAGAGAGTAATGAGAGAAGATGTAAGATATAAGATGTAAGAGAGATGTGTGTTGCAACTGAAGCGGAAGACTCTATTTATAGAGTTTCGAGAACATTACAGGAGAATAAACAAAGACTATAAATTGAAAGAAGTGTCCATGCAAGGCACACTAGACAATACAAAGTAAATACATAAGTTAAAAAACACTAAGTCTTTATTCCGATATGAAGGTTGCGCATGTCTTTAATACTTCTTGGTGCAGCGGTAGAAACAGCATTGTAGTAGTGAGGGGGATTTTTGATTAGGTTCAAGATGGTCACTTTCTTGATTCAACAGTTTGTATGACCTATCAAAATTTGAAGACCGATTCCGTATTAGTAGAAATTTATTTTTATGTATAACTAGAGTTTTGGAAAACAATTATGATTTTTTCCAATTAAGATGGGACGCAAGAGGTAAATGTGGTTTTAGTACAATATAAAAATACATAGCAGCCCTTAGACAATTCGCATACGACATAGTCGCAGATGCATCAGATGAGTATCTTAAAATGTCTGAGAGGAATGGGCGAGAATGTGATTATCTTTTTTGTGAGTATGTCATAGAGCTTTATGGTGACATATACTTGTGACATCCAACTAGAAATGATATCGAACAGTAGTATGCCACACAAATGAAGCTAAACATGGCTTACATTGAATGTTTGGAAGCATTCATTGTACTCATTGGGAGTGGGTAAATTGTCTCAATGCATGGCGAGGTCAATTCACACGAGGTAATCATGACGTGCCGACTATTATGCTAGAGGCTATTGTTTCATATGACCTATGGTTTTGGCATGCATTCTTTGGTATGGCGGGGTCAAACAACGACCTGAATGTGCTTGGAGCCTCTATGATATTTAATCATATTTTTCAAGGTAAAGCAGCAAACATGTTGTTCTTTGTGAATGAACATCAATATAATTATGGATATTACCTTGGTGATGGGATATACCAAGAGTACGTTGCATTTTTGAAGTCGTACTCATTTTTTGCCGATGAAAAACGAAAAATTTTCATGTGAGCACAAGAATAGCAAGGAAGGATGTAGAACGGGCGTTTAGGGTCCTCAAACAAAAGTGGCAAATTATCAAGAATCCGACATGATCATGGGATAGGGAAAAATTGACCATGGTGTTGAATGCTTGTGTTGTTTTACATAACATGATAATTGAAGAAGAGGGTAGGGGTATTTGTATGTATAATCCAAAAGATATTCTTAACCCACCTGCAGTAATACAAGTCGGCAGCCCTGCATACTTCACACGACTTTTATAAATACAAAACAGTGAAACACATCACAATTTACATTATGATTTGACCGAGCATATATGGAAAATGCAATTCCAGCAACACGGTGGCAATGACGACGATGAGGAGGACACGGTTTAAAGTGAAAACATGAGGACAAATTTCAGCCATTAGACTTGTTGTATTTAAGGGTGAAGATTAATTAGTCATGAGTAAGATGTACTCTATTGTGATTTTGGTATGGGAAAATATTCAACAATGATTTATACGTCTTTAATGAGAATTACATAATAGCTAATAATCATAAAAAGGTAATTCTATCAAATAACAAACAGCTCCTGATAAAACCTTGCAGAAAAATCTACCCAAATCGTTTCCATTTGGCTCAAACGATCCTCATAGAATCTACAACAAAAAATCCAAGAGATTAGTTTAATCATTTTATGTTATAAATTTGAAGCGAAATGAGGTGGACAAGATCACATACCTTACGATGGAGTCTAAAAATGATGGAATCGGGTTTTTAATCAAAGTTTACTAATACAACTGACAATGCTATCGATCTTGATGAAGTTGACGTTTTGTACATTGAATCAGGTAACATAAAGATTTTATTATGTACATTTGTATTTAGGGTTTCTTCGTTGAGGGTTTTGAGAAATTAGGGTTTGTTTGTTGTTTGTTGGTAAAATTGACGTTGGTGATTAACAAGTAGTTGGTAGTGAATGCAAACGTTTTGTGAAATTAGGCTTTGTTTTCAATTTATCTTGTTAAGTGAAAGGGTCTTAACTGTGAATGATTCGTGCATATGAATGTGTATTATATGAGTCAATATTATGTGTGGGATGTAGTCATATTCAAATATGAGTTAATTAGTATGTAGTAGAGTTGTTGATTAACGTCTATGTTGATTAAGAAGGAGGTAAACAATTATGCAAGATATTAAGAAGGATGTAAACCATTGGGCATATTAATAGTGAAATTGTTGATATTTGTTATGCACTAGGGAAGATTTATTTATCTATGATTATATAGAATCACTAGTATGATTAAACTGTCTAACATAGAATACGTAAAGTATTAAGTGAATGTGTATTCATTTCTGATTATATGCAGTCATGCATAAAACTTCAACATATAATAGCTAAAGGAGTATATGGTATGTGGTAAGTTTTGTTTGGTATTTCTTAAATGTTGCTTGGTAAAAGGTAATAATATGGTATACATGCAGAATACTATCTATGGTGAATATTCAAAACTGTTTTCATATTATGCCAATACTTTGATATAAGAAAAGAAGTAATGAGTGAAGAAGTGTGCACATATAAATGTGTAGTATAGGACTCAAAATTTTGTATTGAGTATGTTAACATTGAAGTTTTTGATTTTTTTTTATGCTTAAGTGAATGTGTATTCATTTCTGATTATATGCAATCGTGCATAAATTTTGAACATATAATATGTAAGGGAAGGCATGGTATGTGGTAAATCTAGTTTAGTATGTCTTAAATATTGTTTGCTAAAAGGTAATAATATTTTATACATGCAGAATATTCAAAACTACTATTCTAGTAATCAAATACATTGATATTAAAAAATAGTTAATCTGTAAAGAAGTTTACTTATATAATTTTTTTTGTAAAATGTTAGATTGATTATGATGATATCAATGTACAGGTTCATCAAGTGTTCGTGTACTTGAAGGAAAGAATGCTATGATGAATGTAGGGAATAAAGGGATAGTTGTTGGGGGACGAAAACTTTAATTACCAAAAAATAGTAGCAATGGAAAACCAAAAAAGAATGACATAGTGATGATTATATTGTTAAGATAAAAAAGAAGATGGATTATGAAAAGAATGATAACAAAATGAAAAGGAAAATGGTTGAAAAGATTGTTAGGGATAAAAACGTTAATGTGAAAGGGAAAAAAGTAATTGGATGTGAGGATAAATGTAAAAAATGGAAGGTAGGAACAGAATTCAAAGGTTGAGTACTCGTATGTATCCAAACTCGTTGTCTCTAGAAATTAGAAGTTTGTCAAAAAAAACTAATGAGAAATGGTACGCAATATGGGTTTTGGATCTTTTTTGGGTATGAAGATTGATACACTACCAGGAAATCTAGCATATTTTGTTGTAGATAGCTTCACAACTAGTTCGTGCTCTATAAGGGTTAAAAGTGGAGTAATGAACATAACAAACAATACTGTTGAAGCTATGTTTGGACTTATGAATAAGGGTTTGGATTTTAAGACACTAGATGAATGTGATAAGAATGATCCATTCCTTGAGGCTAGGAAAGGACAATATGGGAAGGGAAATTATTCTAATGGAGACTATTTGAAGAATATAAGGAAATCAAGTGTTGCGGATGCGATGTTTAAGCTAAATTTCTTGACTTTAGTCATTAACACTTTTGCTGAAACAAAGATAATGGGGTCTTGTACAATTAGGGCCTGTTTGATAAATGTCTGACCGAGTCGAGTCAGATGTTTTTGGCTGACTTGGTCAGCAAAAGGCGTTTGGTAATCGAATTGTGGGCATCTGACTCGGTAAGAAGGAATCTGATTGGGATAGATACGGGAAAACATCTGACTGAGAAAAGTTCCACTTTACCCTTGCCCTACATTTTCTTTTAGCGCCTCCATCATTCTCCATTTCACGATGCCTTCTTCTCGTCGATTTTGCATCTTCCCACCACCGACGATCTACTCTAAAACCAACCTCCATCGACGGTCTCCTGCCTCTTCATCAGGTCCGATCCATTACCTCTTCATCGATGATCTCCATCCTATTTCAGATTCTGATTTATTTTTTGTATGATTTCTTCAACTAATCATAATATAAACATAACCTAAACACAACATGGTTTGAATTGTGGATTTTGATTTATTTCTTGTTCCGAATTTTTGATTTTTGAATCTAGGATTCTGATTTATTTCTTGTTCCGAATTCCATGTTTGAACTTGTTTAAAAGTTTCGATTTTTATTTCTTTTTGTCCATGTTTGCTGCAGAATTTTGTTGTTCAATTGCAAAACATACTTTTTAGTTGTTAAGTGCAAAAGAAATTTTTGATAAATAGCAATTTCTACTTCCAGGTTTCATGATTTTTTATGGGGGCATATTAGTCTTTTGTCTAGAAAAGTAGACAACCATGCAGGGGAATCCATCCAAGAAAATGAGTCCATATTTGACTCTGGATTGCAAAAGATTTGCTTAAATTAGATGCCTTCTACTCATGAGTTTGTTGTTTTTGTTTCTATTCATGTTTGATGTTTATGATTTTGTTCTGTTCATATTAGGAAAATATTGGTCGTCAATTAAATTTTTGTTGTTCTAGTGATGAGTTTGAGAGTTCATACATACCTGACCGTTTGTTGTTCTAGTGATGAGTTTAAGGTTTTTGATTCTTGATGTTGTTGATTCATACAAGTTCTATAATTTTATAATTTTAGGATGTTGATTTGGAACGAGTATGAGGAAAAAACCTTTCTTGAGGCATGTATCCATGAACTAACCACTAATGGTCGTGAGGGTAAAATGGTCATTTTGTATAAGTCAGCACATTCAGTTAGAAGTACAATCAAACAACATGATTGCTTACACAGTCAAGATTTCTTACCCAGATAGACATTTCCCAATCAGCACTTTCTGAGTCAGCAACTGTCAAATGGGGCCTTAATTTGATTGAAAAGTTAATTCAATGCAAAGATGTGTCAAGTAATAACTGGTGTGAGTACATAATAGACTGTTTAGAAAAAAGCAAGAATAAGTGGAGGCCAAATGACAAAAACTGGTACTTCACAGGACCTCTTGCGTTTCTAATGGTATGATATGAAATATTGATTTCATATGTTAAATACTATTAACAATAAAATTCAATTTTAATGAAAAATTATGTAATGTAATTATGTAGATGGTGTATGCTGACAGAGTGATATGTAAAGATGTAAATCTGCAAAGGTATAGGCCATTCATCATAGAAATTGATTCAGAGAACCTAAGAGTTTTGGAGGAATATGAAGTAAGCAAGTGGATATTTGGAAGTCTAAGTTTATGGGAAAATGTTGATGGTGTCTTTTATGATGAGATGATGATTCAAGATGATTCAAGAAATAGATCGGTTGAGGTAAGAATATTTTATAATAACTATAATAGTAATAGTGATTTTTTAATGTTAGTAAATGGTAATTGTAGTGTATTATAAAATAGTAGAATGTTAAATTAACATTTCATTAATATCAATTGTAGGGGAGTTATGGACTTATTGCAAGTATGGTAGGAAGGTTACTTGAGACAAAAAAGATTATAAAAGCAAGTCCTTTGGTATGTATAGAAATGCATCTGAATGATGATAAGAGGAAGGCAGTGATTAAGAAGGTGGTCGAAATTTTTAATAGGACAACACTGAAAGAATTACTAGGGAATGGTCATGAAGATAGAATAGATGTTGATGTTATAAGCGTTCATGAAACAGAATGAGAAATATTAGATTAGGAGATGAACCAAATTCTTATTGATTTGACAAAGAAGATGGGGAAGGATTTACTAAGTGGGTCCAAGGTTTATTTTGTATTAAATGTCGATGCTACCACAAATTCAGATATGGGAATGGATAGAATGTCCCTAAAAGTTGTGAAGCCAACTGGTATGTATAATGATAAGGTTCTGGTTGAGCAGCATGGTGATTCACATAAGCAGAATATGGAAATGGATGTCATAATGTACAATGGGAATTCTAGTTTTGATTCTTCGTGTATATTAACACCTGGTTGGATAAAGCAAGTTGATGAAATAGAAAGAAACGACTCTAAAAAGAGTATTAAATTTAAAGATGATGGTTCATCATTTGAAGTTTGACTTGATGAATGTGCATGTGATATGAATACTTCGAAAGGAATAAAGGTAAAGATGATACAGTTGTTGAACTGGAATGTCATAAAATGACAAAGAGAAATGTTGGAGCTATAGTAGGGATTAACATAAGAGAAAAAAAAAACAGAGAAATGAAGCATGGACCTTCATTGAAGTCACCTTTTATACAAAGAGGTGTTGACTTGAAAGATGAAGTTGAGCAAAAAGAAATTTTGGTTGCACAAACGATTATTATATTAGGAATGCATAAAAGGTATAGTTGAATACTTTGAAATTTTTTTTTATGAATAATTTAGTGTAAACTATCTGATGTATACAACAGGATGTATACAACCGTGACAAATGCAGGGAGCTCATATGGGAATCAAAAAAAGGGTTTAGAACGAATCTAGAATATGCTAGAACTATTGCAGAAAAAGTGAATATTCATTAAAATTTAATAGACTATTGGAGTATTCTACTAAACAAATTAGAAGAGAGCAAGTCAGACTCATCGTATTCTAGACTTTATTTTACAAGATGCATGTTGGTATGGTTTATTTAATACAATAGTTTGTTATATTTAATAATATTCATTGAGTTGTTTAAATATAATTGCCAATGTGAATCAATGTATGGCGAATGGGTGAACAAAGATTTAAGATACAAGGAGTTTGGATGCTGGTATGGTTTATTTAATACAATAGTTTGTTATATTTAATAATATTTATTTATTTTGTTATTAATTGTTATATTTTAATTAAAATGTTGTAGGTTTTCTTCCCCATAGTTGATGGGAATTACTACCTGATATGTTTTAAGCTTAAAAGTTTTTCAGTTTTGATAATTGATCAAAAGAGATTAGAGGGAACAATTGAGTCCGTCTATGGGAACATACCCCGCTTGCTGGTTTATGAATATAAAATTATTCATATATTTATATGTTTATGTGAGTATGTAAATGGTTAATAAAATTATTGTGACATAATTGATAAAAAGTGAAATGTCAAGCATACAACCATTCAGATGATGGTGGAATTTTCCTTATGCGACACTTGCAGAGTTTTATGGGAGATCAAACATCAAAGTGGGATTGTGGGCTAGTTATGGATTTGAAAACACAAGATATGTGTTTACAAAAGTTAAGGTACAAGCATCTGGTGAGGTTGCTTTTGTCTGATCATAATATTTTGAAGTGTGAATTTGAAAAGGTGATGGACAAGGTGACAAGGAAGAAAATTATTCAGGAGAATATAAAAGTAGTATTTGATGAATATATTGGTTGAAAGTTGATGGGTATGGTATTCTTTTGGTTAGGTTTAATGATTGTTATGTATGACAAAGGGCTTTTTTTTTGGTGTCATGGTAGGATTTGTTCTAGGTTTAATGTAGTAGGGATTTGTTTTTGTTATTTGTATTGAAGTTTTTAATTTGCTTGTGTTTTGAGCCTATTTAATATATTAGTATTTATGATGGAGATGTTTGTTGAATGTTCGTTAATTGTGTCTAAAGTGATTAAGTGGAATATTAATGGTCAATTAATATTCAACTATAAAATTTGTAGATTACGTACGTTAATGGCCTTTTCATGGAATGTAATTTTAATGCCGTATAAATCAGTTTTGAATTCAATGTAGAATATATATATATATATATATATATATATATATATATATATATATATATATATATATATATATATATATATATAATTGTGTACGCCATTTTCAAGTTGAGTAAACAAATCATTAGCAATATATGTTTCAATTGATGGATAATTATTTGATAATTTATATTTAACGTAGAAGAAGATATGTATTTTTAAAAGTTAAGGTACAAGATATGTAATAGTATTTGTGGCATGGTAGGATTTGGGCTATCTATGGATTTGATAACACAATATACGTATTTACATAAGGTATGGTACAAGATATGTACATCCATTGTTAAAAAGTTTGTTGAGAAGTTTTGTAGTGTGGTAGGTGAATGTCAATGTGAATTTGGTGTTTTGAATTCTTGTGGAAAAAGTTTTCATAGTTTATATTCAAACCATAATATGTTTTAAAAAAACTAAGTATCTTAATAAGTAGGATAAAAGACCCATCATATATTGGGCATGTGTAATATGAATATTATTATGATTCATTGTTAAATAATAGCATAAAACAAAATTTACTAAAAAATGAGAAAACGATAACATCTATTCAATAATGAAAAACAATAAAACCACCAAAAAAAATTATAGCATTCAAACATGTCTTTTCAGATCAAAATGACATATCTAAAACATCCAAAGGTAAACAAAACAAATTAAATATAAAACACGCATGCACAATTAAAAACTAAAAACAAATTGGAAGATAAATGAAATGCTAGTTATACTTGATTCTTCTTTCTGGGACGTTCTTTGAAAATGTTGTTCTTTTCATCTTCTTTCCTAATAGGACAATTATGCCAATCATGATCGTTGCCCTTGCGAAAATAACTGCATATGGAACTGTAATATCCCGACTCCCATGTATAATATTTAATTAATACATTTTGTGAGAGAAACTCGACAAGTTGGAGGCCCCAACTTGCCAAGTAAAGATTTAAAATGGTTGTGTGGTTTTTACAGTCTAGTCGACGAGTTGGAGGAGCACAATTCGATGGGTAGGGGCTAAGTGTGAAAACCCTAATTTTCAGGGTTTGTACCTTATTTAAAGGACCTTAAGCCTTCATTTTCGCCTCCCTTATCACCTTGACACACTGAGAGAAACCCTAATTGAGCTATATTCATTTGTGTGTGTGAATATGTGCGTGTGAGATATATATATATATATATATATATATATATATATATATATATATATATATATATATTGTATGTTCTAGTGCATTTTTGGAAGGAGATTGAGGAGCAAAAGGCTTGGAACGAGAAGAAACCCTTGGATCCAGTGTTCTTTCAGTGCTAGCTGCTATTTGGAGGCAAAAAGCTATCACCTAGATCACTTTTGGTTAGATCTCTTCACTAGGGGTTTTAGAGCCATTTCCATCTTCTCTATTATTCCTTAAGTGGTTTGAGCATGCCATGAAGTTGAGACTTCAGATCTAGATAGTATGAGGTCCCTTGGGCCTAATGATTCAAGCTCTATCAAGCTATTGGCCAACTATTATGTATTAAACCCTATATAGATCTTGTTTTGGCATTTTGAGCCCTAGATGCCATGCATAGATGTAAAGCTTGTAGCTTTATGTGGTACTTCATCCTTAGAAGGCTCGATCTAGAGTATGAGGCCTTAATTCTATTTAAAAACATCTGAATGAGAGAATAGACTAAAGGGACCCAACGAGTGGATGAGCCAACTCAACGAGTTGGTTAGGGTTTTTATCGATAGTCTGAACGCGTTACAACATGGAGAGTTGGTGAGACAACTCGACAAGTTGAGTGGGATTTTCCCGATACTTCAGAGAAAACAAAGGAACTCGACAAGTCGCATAGGCGCACTCGATGAGTTGGGTCAACATGGATTTTTGACTTGAGTGTTGACTTCCGTTGACTTTTAGGGTTTAGTCAAGACATGGGTTATGGACACCATGGAGGGGTAAAAACGTCTTTCACCCTTTCCGAGAGTTAGAAAAGGGGTTAGCCTAACATTTTAGAGTTATTGTATTAAGTGTTAATTTGAGATGATTATAATATGTAGGTAGGGTCTACACCGATCGTTGAGTACGAGACCTACTTGCTTACTTACGAGGTGAGTTTCTCACTATACTTACCCGAGTGGTAATATTATGTGACTGATGGGTCTTATTTAAGTTATTGACCGAAGGGTCATATGTGCTTATACTGATTTATGAGATATTATGAATTTTGTCTTTGTGATTTATGCTATATATTATTCTTTGCCTTACTGAGTTACGAACAGAGGATCCAAACCGAGTTGTGAGACCGGAGGGTCTTCACTGAGATACATGGCTAGAGGGCCCAACCCGAGCTGTGAGACCAGAGGGTCTTCACTGAGATACATGACTAGAGGGTCCATACCGAGCCGTACGACCAGAGTGTCCTCACTGATACGCATGAGCGGAGGGTCTATGCCAAACTATAGCCATGAGAGGCTTATTATTTGTGTATGTGGTATTGTGGGGAACTCACTAAGCTTCGTGCTTACAGTGTTGTGTGATATATGTTTCAGTTACCTCTCAGGATCGCGGAAAGGCACCGGCTTGATTGTACACACCAGTTAGAGATTATGTTTTTGAGGATTCTGGGATATTATCAAACATTTTTCTGCCTTGTGTTTTGACAACTTATACATTTTGTGGTTTTTTGAGAAATGCGATATTGTGTTTTATGTGATTTTAAAAATGAATATTTTATTTGAAAATTTAAAGTGTTTTAAGTTGGTATTAGAGCCTTGTTTTGAGAGATGTGGATGTACTCTTGAGTATGTCTGGACTCAAACTGAGGATTTGAGAAAAAAATTCTATAAGAAATGATTTTTCTAAAATGAGTAAGAGCTTATAAGATATAACGAGATGAAACAGTGTGTGCATTCAGCCAAAGCCTGAACGGTGATTTCCCAAAATACCATTACTTGTTTATATTATGAGATACTTATGAGATATTAGAGTTGCATGCTAGAGGATATGCTAGGTATTTTACAATTTAGAGCTAGAGTTGTCTGATTCTTGATGCCTTAGCCTAGGAGATTCTATTGATTGATATTATCTGCTATTTTCTCTATGTATGTGCTGAGTAGGAGTGCTTAGTAGTAATCTTCTAGAGAGAGCTTTGAGTCAAGGAGAAATATAGGAGAGATACCTAGATGAGAATTTGTGGAGTCTACTGAGAGACCAGTTTGATATCTGTGATGGATAGAAGACTTGTGAATTAGGATCCTAGGAGGAGGACTTGGGGTGACTACAGATTGGTGTGGAAGGTAGTATTGGGCCCTTACTACTAAAAGTATCGGATCTGCATGCGACAATATAAGAACCTTTGGATGCTAAGGAGCATGTAG